CTCTAGCGTAATAAAAAATAGTTATGCTATGGTTATTTATTTATGATCAAGTTCATTTTGTACGCCATTTTTTGACTTTTTGGATGATATATAAGAATAGAGCCGTGGTAGCTCAGATGGTTAGCGCTCGCTGTAAATTTCACAATACGCGAGCAAACCGGGTTCGATCCCCGCCGGCACCAATAAAATTTTTATTTGCAATTTTAAGTGCTGATTTACCACGTGCTCAGCGTTGAAGTAAAACATCGTGAGGAAACCTGCATGTCTGAGAAATAAGAAAAAAAAAATATTTCGAAGACATGTGAAGTTCGCCAACACGCATTGGGGCAGCGCGGCGGATACTTCCTTGCCCTAAAACCCTCTCAGAAATGAAGGGAGGCCTGTGCCTAGCAGTGAGATGTATATAGGCTGTAACTTTACTTTTACTTTACATGCATCACCACTTAACATCAGGTGGGATAGTAGCCAAGCACTGGCTGAGAGCAGTAAAAAGAAAGATTGTGCTCTATATTGTGCCACTGCACTTTACTATGTTCATGTAAGTGTAAAGTGCATATACTTAATATTAGGTCTGAGAATAATCAAGCACTGGCTTAGAGCAGTAAAAAAAAAGATTGTGTTCTATATTGTGCCACTGCTCTTTACTATGTTCATGTAAGTGTAAAGTGCATATACTTAATATTAAGTCTGAGAATAATCAAGCACGGGCTTAGAGCAGTAAAAAGAAAGATTGTGCTCTATATTGTGCCACTGTTCTTTATTATGTTCATGTACTTAGGACTCTGCCTACCCCCTTTTAGATTACTGGTATGAAGCTATGTAAATGTATATGTTTATAAATGGTATAATGGTACACCTCAAAGTAAATTTAAAGTAGCTTAAGCATTATATTGGTTTGAGCAGAACTAATATTCAGTCTTATTTCTTCTTTTTCCAACAGGGAATTTATTTTATTTATTAAAAGTGTATGGTTCTACTATGCCTATCAAAAGATAAAATTACAGCCTACATACGTCCCCTAGCTGAGAACAAGCCTCCTCTTATTACTGGCAGGGATTTTCGGGAAAGGCGTTGTCCACCGCATTGCTCCAATGTGTGTTGTCGGACGTCATATATCATTAAAGTATTTACTTTTTGTTTAACATTAACAATTTCAATGCATGCATAAATATTTAAGTCATTTTTGCTTTGCTGCGCATAATTGTTTTATGTTATTTCGACAAATAGCCACTTTGATCTATTGCAAAATCTTTTGTTTGACCCCACGAGACAGGCCATGCCTAGTGTGGGAGTCACAGAACTTATTGTATTTTGGTTAAGTGTTTTCTGGTAAATAAATAAATTTATTGTTATTATTATTATTTATAGTTACAATTGCATTTAGTCACAGATTTTTCACATTCCTCTAAATAATAAATTGCATAAAACCTTATCCCTCTTTTCTCGAAATCAATATGAGTGCAAAAATATTATTCTATTGTTGTGAGTAATAAACGTTATTTATTTTATTATTATTATAATTATTATAAACAAAAATAAAACTGGTTTTTAGAAAATCGCACTTTATTTCTGTCCATAAAATAATAAGAAAAAAACAAGAGGTAATATCACTGACCTACATATATACTAATACGCTTGTGTTTTATATAACGTCGTCAAATATTGCATTCCGTGAGCAACGCTGCATTGAAGCAGCTATATTAAACTTTGACTGATATTCATGCGCTCGCAGTTTGAGATATCACAGTTTGCTCTAAATGTATCCGCATGTAATATCACACGTTTATTTATGAATTTGTGATGATTTCAGGCATTTTTAACTTTATATTTAAGGTAGTGTAGAATCTGTCCATAAATCCGTTCATCCGTACAGCTTATAAAAGTCCATTGTTGAACATATGTCTACACTACTCCATAGATTGTCTCATAGGGAGATTTTGCCATACTTGTCACGCTTGGCAGGCAGTTTGGCAGCAGTTTTTTATAAATTAAATTCTGCTTTAGACCTCACATTTGAACTTTTAATGTTATATTATATTCGTTAAATAATATATATTTAAAAATTAAAATATTTGGATTTCAGATGACTCCTTAAAATCCTTGTTCAGCCTCAATGTCGTCGACATAAAACTTGTGTCTATACCATTGGTGTTTCTTATGTTTTGAACTCTTTGATTATTTTCTATTTGTTGAGACAAACGAGCACACAGTCCACAGTCATAGTTAGTGGATGTTGTGGCCCACAGACGTTGATGATAGATGTGTTGTCATCCCTGAAGACTAATGTGAAATGGCTCGTTTCCAGTTGAAAGTTCTCCGGTTCAGCAGACGAAACACAGCAGCATTGCGTTTTTACGCTAGTATGAGAGCGTGGTCCCCGGTTCCCTGGTCGAGCCGACCCATTAGTTCTACAACTCTAGTATAGCCGCACGATGGCTCTACCACGTAAAAGCGTCTTCTTAATAACAAATAGGAAATTAAAATAAACTGTAGTTGCCAACCCGCCAACTAAGCGCGGTTACTATAGCAATTATCCCCTTATGAGGCTTATGTGTATAGCAGTGGAGTTTGATAGGTTGTAATAAGTAAATAAATATATTTGACGTTATTGACTTTGTGATATATTTATATACGATTGGGATTCCATAAACGTAATCAATCATTCTCCTCTATCAAAGTATAAGTCCACGTGGTCCTATTTGTAAGATAAAAACCAGTTGCACTGCTACAAAAACGCGAAATTATCAAATTTTTTGCTGCAAAAAAGATCTCACGTCAAATTTACAAAAAGATGGCGTTACTTTTCACATATAAACAATTTTTATCATATTTATAGTATTTAATTCTTTTTAAACTTAAAAATTATAATAATAACGGTCGTGTTGTTTCGGATTTGCTTACCAACACAGCCTGTTTGCCTCATAAAACTTGCAGTCGGTTGAATGACTGATCCGAGTCTGTATCCGATTGGTCACTGTCACCTGTGTGAGACATTGTTATGTGTGAGTTTTTTAATGACAGATGATCGTTTTTGTGTTCACAGATTACTCCCCGCAAAAAATGACAGACAGTTCTGTATCAATAAAAAAATTCTATGGCTACTCCGCTTCGGTTAGCCGGTGGCCGGTATTGCTTTGTGGTACGGATAGATTAATGTAAATATTTGTGAGCAATCATGTACTTTTTTGTTTACTGTTTTTAAGATTATTTATGTTTAACATTTTTCATTATAGAACGTTATTTGACATCACAATGATTAGGATTTTTAAGATTAAATTAAAATGCCTCTAATGAATCAACGCCACAATTGAACAAATTTATATCTATACTTCGTACCTGTACATCAATATATTAATCATAACTTTTAATAGAATGAAACGATTTTAATAAAACAAAGACAAATTTTATTCAAAGATATGCTTTAATTTTTTTATATATATTTAAAAATATTATTACTTTAAAAGTAATATATTCACACACAAACGGATAGATAGACAAACTTTATTATTTTTAGTGTGTCTCAACAATTTTTTCATAAAAATAAACAATATGCAGAGAATAAAAATGTACACTTAAAATTTTATGTAAGTATACATAGATTATATATTTATTTTACTATTCATAATTATCTTTCATAACTCCACTGCAAGGTATTGCTTATACGAGTAGCTCGGAAAATTTACTGGTGATCAAAAAATGAAAAATATGAGAGAATAGTATGTTGTACTAAATATTTATTTCTAAAATTCCATGAATTTTACAATTAAAAAATTGTACATAACCTATAGCGATATTTTTGCGTCGCTTTTACACAAAATATTGTGTATTATGTTTTTGAATAACTTTCTATAAAAATCCAATGATGTGAATAAAGTATTTGCTGTATCGTCAGCATAACATACAACCTCACTATTTTCAAGTTGAATTGACATAATGTCATTAATGTACGAAATAAAAAGAGTCGATCCTAAGATGCTAACTTGAGGAACGCCAAAATCTACAGATCTAAGATCGCTTGTCTGATCGCATATTCGGACACATTGCTTTCTATCCAACAAATAGCTGGAAAACCAGTTTAAAGCTAGACCACGAATCCCGAGAGCACTTAGTTTCTTAAAGAGGATGGGAATAGATACCGTGTCGAATGCTTTAGCCAAATTGAAAAAAAAACTGACACAGGATCGACCCTGATCGAGATGAGTTACAACCATATCTTTGAAAAGAGTTACTGCATCCTCAGTTGATTTTCCCTGGCGAAAACCAAACTGACGGTCCGAGAGTATGCTATTCTTTTCAAGATAGTTAGTCAGCCGCTTATGGACAACACGTTTCAGGAGCTTAGAGTAACCACCCAGCAGTGATATGGGTCGATAATTACAAGGATCGTCCTTAGCTCCATTTTTGTACATGGGGATAACTGCCGCAACTTTCCACTCCCACAACCAAGACTCCTGACGAGACACTTAAGTTAAATATCGCTGCCAGAGGCTCCGCGATTGTGTGAGCTACTGATTTTAAAATTTTGTTAGTGATACCGTCCATGCCCGGGGCACTACCTGAATCAAAAGATCGGATGAGACCCAAAACTTCCTGTTCGTCTGTAGGATTCATGAAAAATGAACCAACGGGTTGATCAGGAACGTGAACTTTTTCGGCAAGGGACTCTTGAGTCTCATTTAATTTAATCATGATAGAGTTTGCCAGCTTATTACCTACAGAGGCAAAGTAGGAGTTTCAAACATCGAGAGACTCCTTTACAGAGGGCTTTGAGTTGATGAGAGCCAGGGGAGAACTTGAGGTAGTGTCTGCCAGTTATGCGGTTAATAGTACCCCAGAGTTTTTTTGGAGCACATTTATTTTTATTTATTTCTTTTTTGTTGTAATCACGTTTTAGCCTTCTGATTAGACCTATGTAAAAATTTCTATAGCGCGTATATATAAGTCTTTTAGTTGGGTTGTTTGGATCCTTGCGTTATTCAATATGAAGCTAATCGTGGTGTTTAGAGCATCTGATTACACCAGGAGTCATCCAGGGGTGTAAGGTGGTTCTGGAGCGGCTTATTATACACGTTTTCAAATATCTCCATATTGTCTGATACCGTCTTAGTGAAATGAGTTACAGGCTCATCAAAAGAGCTGCAGTTTATTACTGGGGACCAGTCCGTTCCCTCCAGCTCTGATCTTATTAATTCTATGTCAACTATAATCTATAACCTTTGATCGAATAGGTTTTGGTCTTTTTGGTTTGCGTGTCTTTAACATTATGCCTGCCATAGTGATATCATAGTCAGTGGCATCATTGAGATAGACTACGGACTCTTTTACGGATACAAAAATGTGATCTATGCAGGTTTTGACCCGAGTTGGTTTGGTTATAGCCGGAAAAAGTGTACTCTGCTAATAATTAAGACTCCGTGTGCAAGTTTTTGTCAGCTGCGGACCCAGTAATATTTATGTTCATGTCTCCAGCAAAAATAAGACTAGGAGAGGGACTTACCGTTTTTAAGTTGGCGTCAAGAGAGCGAATAAATATTTCTGGGTTGGTGTAACCAGGTGATCTGTAAGCGGCTACTACAGAGAAGTGATTTGCAACTTCTGCGAGAATACTATTACCCTCGTCAACGTTCAGCTCGGAAAAGTTCACTGTCCACCTCTCTTTTATGTAGATACCGACTCCTCCTTCCCTGTTAATATACTTTTTAGAGTAAAATAATGTAAATCCTTGCAATATGGTGACCTTCTCAAACTCATTAAGCCAGCACTCGCTGAAAACAATAGCGTCGAAATCAAGATCTAATCTTTTTAGGGTTACTGGGAAAATATCAAAGTTTTTATTTTACGCATGCTTCTTATGTACACGCTTAAAATCCTAAATGAAAATCTAGACAGAACGTCTTTACAATTCTCTGGGGCCGTTATATTGTGACACTTTATCTGAGATGAATTATCTATAGCATCTAACAATTCTAGGGAAGCCACGGGAAGAACGTGCAAAATTTATTGAAGTATTTTGGCATTAAATGGGAGAGTGCCATATAAAGAGAAGAAGGGGTGCAGATAACCACGAAATATTTTGAGGAATGTACCATGGGGGAGAAGATGTGTAGGTGTGTTAAAATGTGTGTGTGATTGCACTTACAATTGTGAAGAGTTAAATTCAAAATTATGATAAGTAGTGTATAAGAAAAATAACAACCATATGGGCTATAAATTAGTGAAAAAATATCAATTACTAGGCTCTTGAGGCTCAGGTAACGTTTACTGAGTGGTTGCCGTATCCGGTTTGGTTTGGACACAGAGCAGGCAGTTGAGATCATTTTCCGACCTAATACGGATTGCGGGGCTACCTTCCTTGACATCCCCTTTCCTAATAAATATGGATCCGTTCTACAGCCAGCAAAACCTGTAGCCATGTTTGACGGTGACAGCTCTCACAGTACGGAATAAGGGTCGAATTTCGCCAGTAAGACGCTCATTTACGTAGATCAAATTTTCAGGCCCATGATTCAAAATGTCTTTACTCTTTAGGTTTTTTCTAGCTTTCGCGTGTTTAAGCAATTCCTCACGTACGTTAGCAGAGCTAGCTCGACAGGTGAAAGCAACCATCAAGGAACGAAGAAGTTTACGGTTCCCACTCACGTTAGTATTTATATTTTGGTTTTTGGGACCAGCTCGGTGCGCATAATTCAGGTCCATGTCCTGAAGCTCAATGCCTAGTTTAGCGGCGACAGTAATTAATACCAAGTGAGTACGGAATAAGGGTCGAATTTCGCCAGTAAGACGCTCATTTACGTAGATCAAATTTTCAGGCCTATGATTCAAAATGTCTTTACTCTTTAGGTTTTTTCTAGCTTTCGCGTGTTTAAGGAATTCCTCACGTAAACGTTAGCACAGAGCTAAACCTCGACGGGTGAAAGCAACCATCAAGGAACGAAGAAGTTTACGGTTCCCACTCACGTTAGTATTTATATTTTGGTTTTTGGGACCAGCTCGGTGCGCATAATTCAGGTCCATGTCCTGAAGCTCAATGCCTAGTTTAGCGGCGACAGTAATTAATACCAAGTGAGTTGGTTTTTCATTTGGTGTTTCTTCAAGACCCGATATTTCCAGCTCATTTCCTAAGGCAATCTGAGCTTGGCTGTTTAGACGAGACTTCAGAGCGGCAACGGTGACCTTAAGGACATTATTTTCTTTTTCAACGGACTCAAGTGATTTAATTCGCCGATCATAGTCGGCCAGTTTGGTGTTCAAAGCGTCGAGACATTCGCGAAGGTGGGTGATGTCGGCTCTAATATCAGTACTTAACTTGGATAACTTACAATCAAACAGCGCGCCAAACTGGTCGTATGTTATTGCCGCAGCGGGAGGGGTGGGGTTCGTAGTAGAATTATTATCAACTTGGCAGTCATTTACTCCCCCGTCGGAGGTTCCCAGAACCTCGTCGCATGACATGTTCGTGTCGACGCTTCGACGTTTCGACGAGGCCGCAGTGGATAATGGAGTGAGTTGTCTACGATACGATGTGTGGTCCTCTTTGCGTCGCGTGACCCGATTACAGGAATGGCATTCCTCCAATTCCTTTTTAAGGCTAGATAAATTTTCTTTGTAATAAGCGGATATGTTGTAACATTTGTAGTGATAGCATCCCTTGCATACAGAGCAATTTAGCTGTTCCTCGGGTCGGGTAAATTTATGACAGGCCAAACAAATCATTTTATTTTATGTAGCTTTTTTAATATTATGCTCAATTGACTTTATTTCCAAAAACACGCAAAGGCAAGCAACGCACTGCAGAGAAACTAAGATGTGCTACGAGTCATAAATGGGTAGACGGGGCGAAGAAGTTTCGTAGTCAGTAGCAGTCCCCGTAGTCACGGCGCCTACGACGTTACGTGTCGATTCGTCGCCTCTTCAGGTTGTTTACCTTTGCACGAACTGAGCGTACACTTGTTGAGGTAGGTCACGGTTGCAATTATTCTGAAAAGAATTTTGTTACAGTTCCCTAATTATAGAAGAGATTATAAAACAGATTACGGCACTAGAGAGGGCTGTACACTAGCTTCCAGTAGATATCGGTTTTGACAGTAGCCACTAAGATTTTACACTGTTTTTAGAGTAAGTCTCGCGGAGCAAACGGTTACGGTGTTTACTTAGAAACGGTCGCGGAACAATATGTAACTTGATTAGACTTTGCAACTAGTTGGTTACGTCGTGTCCATTCAGGGATATATTCGGTTGAGGCATGTTGTTTGAGAGTACACCCGATACCGGAGAAGGCGTCGACGGGATTCCGCCGAGGAGGACGCGCTGTATGAGGTGTACCGCGCGTCTAAGGAGACTCTGTGGCTGGCCATCGGCGACTCGAAGTCGCGTGCCAGGGAGGAGCTGCTGGGGTCCCTAGTTCGGGATCCGTGGGGGCGCCCCTACCGTTGGGTACGGGGCAAGTTGCGTTCCTGGGCGCCTCCACTAACGCAAACAATGCAACCCCAGTTGCTAGAGACAGTGGTATCGGTTCTCTTCCCTGAACGAGTGGTACACGTTCCCCCGGCGATGGCTACGCCCTCAGCCACAGACTCTCCAGAGGAGGAGAGCACCGATGTCCCCAAGGTGACGCAAGCAGAGATGAGAGCGGCCGTAGCGCGACTCCGGGCCAAGAACACAGCGCCCGGACCCGACGGAGTTCCTGGTCAAGCTCTCGTCCTGGCTCTGAAGGAGCTGGAGCCCCAGCTGAGGGGGCTCTTTACGGCATGTCTCGAGCTGGGTCAGCTTCCCAGTGTGTGGAAGGAGGGAAGGCTGGTTCTACTCAGGAAGGAGGGGCGCCCCGCGGACTCACCGTCGGCGTACCGGTACATAGTGCTGCTCGACGAGGCGGGCAAACTCCTTGAGCGTATCATCGCAGATTGCCTCGTCAGCCACTTGAGCAGAGTGGGGCCGGACCTGGACGAGAACCAGTTTGGTTTTCGTCGTGGGCGCTCCACCATAGACGCTATTACGCGCGTGAGGGCCCTGGCGGGGGAGACAGTATCCCGGTATGGGGTGGTGCTGGCGGTGTCTTTAGATATCTCCAACGCCTTCAACACCCTACCCTGGAGTTGTATTCGGGAGGCGCTTAGTTACCATCGCGTGCCTCCCTACCTCCGCCGCACAACAGGGGCTTACCTTGAGGAGAGATGCGTCACGTATTGGGGACGTGACAGCGCTAGTCGACGCGTCATGTCGTGCGGTGTTCCGCAGGCATTCGTCTTGGGACCGCTCCTGTGGAACATCGGCTACGACAGGATGCTGATAGGTGAGCTCCCGTCGGGCGCTGACTTGACGTGTTATGCAGACGACACGCTCGTCACTGCCCGGGAGAGCTCGCACAGGGAAGCAGCGTTAGTTGCCACGGCTGCGGTTTCACAAGTGGTGAACCGCATCCGGTGCCTGGGCCTGGAGGTGGCCCTTAACAAGTTGGAGGCCATGGTGTTTCATGGCCTTCGACGCGCGCCGCCGCCTGGATCACACATCGTGGTCAGTGGGGCCCGGATAGCTGTCGAGTCCACCATGAAGTACCTGGGATTGGTGCTCGATAGCCGATGGGAATTTGGGCCCCACTTCCGGCGGCTGGCGCCTAAGCTGATGCGTGCAGCTGGCGCACTTTCAACGCTGCTTCCCAGAACTTGTGGGCCCGAGCGCCGCCTGTAGGCAGTTGTACGTGGGAATCGTGCGGTCCATGGCCCTGTATGGGGCCCCTGTATGGGTGATGCACATGACGGCCAGCACACTCGCCATTCTGCGCAAACCGCAGAGGGCGATGACCGTCAGAGTCATCCGCGGGTATCGCACGATTTCCTACGAGGCGGCTTGCGTCCCGGCCGGATCCCCGCCCTGGGACCTAGAGGCGAAAGTACTCGCGTCATTATATCGATGGCGCGAGGAAAAGCGGGGACGAGGCTCGAGGCCGGTGCAGCGACAGATCACGCTGCGACGAGAGGAGCTCCGTCAGGTCTTGATTACGGAATGGCGGCAAAGGCTTCTGCGCCCTACCGCCGGCCTCTCTATCGTCGAGGCAATCCGGCCAGTACTCGACGACTTGCTCGGGAGAAGGCACGGCTCCCTGTCGTTTAGGGTGACGCAGGTGCTGTCGGGGTACGGCTGCTTCGGAAAGTACCTGTGCCGCATAGATAGGGAGCTGGAGGACACGGCGCAACACACGCTCGCTGAGTGTGTAGCTTAGGAGGAGCAGCGCTGTGTCCTCACAAATGAAGTAGGAGGCGATCTGTCGCTGTCGGCCTTGGTGCGGACGATGGTCGGTAGCGCAGAATCGTAGGATGCAGTAGTGTCCTTCTGTGAGGACGTGATGTCGCAGAACGAAACTGCGGAATGGGAGAGGGAGATCTGGACTCCCTTCCCTGGCCGCAGAAGGCGCACCGGGCGCAAGAGAAGGGCGGACAACGCCCCTTTCCAGCCCCCATAAATGAGTCCAGGGGCGAGGGACTTGGGGAAGCCCCCGCCCCCCTATTCGAGGGACTCAAGGCGGAGGCACGCGCGGGTGTCGGCGCGTTCCTTTGAGGTGATACAGGGGGTAGTTGAACACCTCACTACCCCGTGCAGGAGACGAGTCCCGCACAGACCTAGTGTGGGGCTGCGGAAGAATTTGGATTCCCGCGGCCCCTCGCGTGCACGTGCGAGAAGACACCGGGTGGTTTTAGCCGGTAAGAGTCCGGCACACCCCTCCGCCTTTCCCCAGGCATTTCCCCCCGTAAAAAAAAATGTTGTTTGAGAGTGGTGGTTAAAATGAATAATTGTCTAACTGTTAGTACTTGGCAATAGTCGTAAAGTTGGTCTGTAGGAAACATACGCAGTTTAAAACAACATACATATAAAACAGCTCTCTGTGCCCGTACAAGTGGTATAAAATTACTTTTAGCCGCACCACCCCACGTGGATATGCAATAAGATAAAATTGATTGACACAATGCCATATAAACCATCTTCATAATTTCTGAAAAAATGTAAATAAGTTTACGGACTCTGTTTGACAGGTGTTCAATGTAAGCTTTAAATGTGAGGTTATTATCAATTATTATTCCAAGATATTTTATAGATGTCACTTTTTTATATAGTGTTAATCATTATTGGTTGTACTATTTCTTATATCAAAGGGAGGCTTAACAATGATTTGTAATGAGTTTGTTATTGAATTTTTTACGTTTCGAATAGAGAAGTCCATTAATTTTGTTTTATTTATGTTCAACGTAATTAAATGCGCGTTCAACTATTTCTTTACAATATCAAACCCTTTTTGAGCAAGGAAATAGGTTTCAGCCCAAGTATTCGAGTGAAACACAAGTGCAGCATTATCTGCGTAGGAAAAGATCATCTCGCTTAAAAGATTTGACACAAGTCAATTATATATACTAAAAACAAACTTGGACCGAGAATACATCCCTGTGGTACGCCGTATGTAATTTGCAGGTCAGAACTACGATAAGGAACAATCCTAACACATTGAGTTCTATTTCTTAAATAACTTTGGAATAAAAATAATTGAATTCCTCTTACTCCTAAAGATTGAAGTTTTGAAATTAGGATAGGTATCGAAACGGTATCAAACGCCTTTGTAAGCAAGTGTTGTCAAGAAACAATGCAATACATTTTTGACGTATGTCTAGTTTCCTGACTACAAAATCAATAAGGCTGTGGACAGTATCAGATCTACACAATTTTTTTCGAAACACAAATACACAATGGTTTTTAGAGAGCAGTTTATCAGTCTCTAAAGTAAGTAAGAAGCCTTGTGTTACATATTTTCTCCAGGATCTTTGACATCGTAGGCAAAACTGATATAGATCTGTAGTTTTCGACAAAACTTCGATCGCTGAATTTAAAAATAAGGTGAACTATTGCCTTTTTAAACAAATAAGGGAAAATACCTGTCTGGACACAGTAGCCGTATTATGACCAGGACGGAAACCGGATTGTAAAGAATTCAACAAATTGTGCTTATTAAGGAAAAGGGTCAGCTGTTGGCAAATAAGTTTTTCAAAGACTTTAGAAAGGAAAGGTAAAATTGAAATGGGACGGAAATCAGTGAGGTTGACGGGATTAGATTTCTTCGGAATGGGTATAACATAAGCACTCTTCCAGGCTTGAGGGAATTTAGAGGAAGATAGACATGCATTAAGCAAATGAGATTATGCTTAATACATGTGTATTGATGGGAGTGATAAAATCAAGGAGATGAACAATCATTTTACGGCTAATGCTGTCTGTGTAATGAGGAGATGGATAGTATAATCTTCTTAACATCACATACTTACTGTATTAATTTTTAAAATTACTGTATTAAAATGTATTGACTACAACCGAACGGAGAATAATTAGGAGTCGGACTTACAGAAAGAGAACGAAGTATTTGCAGTTTATGTTCACTACCAAAGGAATTAAAAAAATGTTGATTTAATAGTTTAACATCAAAACTGGGAGGTGAAGCATTAAGAGAGGTTCTACCAACTCCAACTGTTTTAAGAAACTTCCACACCCTATATGAGTCAACGTTCTCGACTGATGAATGAATATGGCGCCGTTGTGCATCTCTACATTATGTGTTGCAGCGATTCCAGATTTTGGCGTATTTTCTAAGGTTTTTCTCTATTTTGTTCCTCTTAAGCTTTGACAATGCCGCATTCTTATTCAAAATTAGCCTTTCCAGATCATCAGAGAGCCATGGA